AAATTGCAAAAATTGTAGCAAAGCATCCCAGGCTTCTGGTACGAACAATGAAACCAAACTTATAAGTACCGTATCTCTGATAGCTTAATCCTGATAGGTTCATTTTGGTTGATTCAGCCAAAAATACAATCCTGATAGATTCAACGGCTGGCTTATACAGGTACTGTCTGATGAGATATATGAACATATAATTTATGCACCAGCAACCCATACAAGCTTTGCATCTTTGCCAGGCATGTGGGAGAGGACCTTAACAGTCAATGGGTTTTCGAAGGTAAGGCAGTTTCCTCTCAATTTTCATTTTTAGGATTCTCTTTAATTTTCAGTGTTAATGTCTGGAGCTTCCAATGTGTCTAGGCTTTTGCAATGACTGGTTGGCGTCTTGGATATATTGCTGGACCCAAGCACTTTATTGCAGCATGTAATAAAATCCAGAGTCAGGTAAGTTACACCTATGGCAATGCTCCACTTTATGATCAAGTTGGGTTTAAGTTATTAAACATGTATGGTAGAGAATGCATGAACAATTGCATAAAATAGAAACTGTCCTAACAGTGTTATCCATTTGTTGCCAACTGAATCTGGTATTGGTTTGGTCCTTTTCTTTTTCAGTTCACTTCAGGTGCTAGTAGTATAGCACAAAAAGCAGGAGTTGCCGCATTAGATTTGGGGTTTGCTGGTGGTAAAGCAGTTTCTACCATGGTCAAAGCATTCAGGGAGCGCCGAGATTTCTTAGTTAAAAGCTTAGGGGAATTGGAAGGTGTTAAGATGTCAGAACCCCAGGTATCACTATATTGTAATTTCTTTGAGGACAATGATACATACACCCAGCACAATTACATACTCTGTTGTACACTAATAGCAACCGTTAGTATATAACGGAAACTATCAATTTTAATGGCATAAATAACAGAAACTGTCAATTTTAATAGCACAAGTAATGAAAATAATTAGTTTTAACAGCACAAGTAACGGAAACTATGAGTGTGTAAATGCCTAAATGGAGTGTGTAATTTTGTAGGATATACAGATCATTTTCCTTTCTCTTTTAGTATTTGAATTTTGTTATATTTTCTTCTTTCATAATTGCCCCACCTCTCCCAACGCCAACCAGCCTAATAGGAACTTTTGCTCACTTCTGATGTTTATTTTTGATTCTGTTTAGTAAGCATACTTCTTGCTTGCAGGGAGCTTTCTACCTGTTCATTGATTGCAGCGCATACTATGGGTCAGAGGCTGAAGGTTTTGGTAAAATTGAAAATTCTGAGTCACTTTGCGGGTATCTTCTGGACAAGGCTCAGGTACATCTAGTCTTGCCTTAGGATTCATGCCTTGCTAGGGAAATTGTCAAGGGCATAGTGTTATATTTCATAGCTTGGATAGGTAGTTTAAGTTGGAACATCTAATTACTTGCAAGTTGCAACGGCAAGTTTCTTCATTAATTCTTAGTAATCGTGTCTTAATTGTTTGTTAACAGGTTGCGCTAGTACCAGGAGATGCTTTTGGGGATGACAGCTGCATTCGCATTTCATATTCAGCATCCCTCACCACCCTAAAAGCCGCTGTTCAGAGAATTAAGAAAGCACTTCTTCCCCTCAGGCCTGTTGTCCCTGTTTGACACTAATAAGGTTTCTAATGCAAAATGCTATTGTTGTTCAGCTTTGTGTTGGGATTCAAAATTTGTTCTCTCATGAAAATTTGAATAACATAAAAGGTTGTAGAGGTTCATATCTTCTAAATCCAAATCTTTGTTCAAACTGATGCCGTGCTTAGTGGGATAGCAATAAAGTCATTGGATATTAAATGGATATGCATTCGCGTTTGACATGCTTGTTGCAATTGAGTCCCTACCTTTTAAACTATTTTACTGGAATGGTTTCTTTTCGTTTTTGGGAATAATGGAATGTACCTAGGAATAAGGAATAATAAATATATAATATTTGTTTCCATGCCCATTCAATGTAATGTAGTTACAATTAAAATGAGATTCATAATTTATAGTCTGAATAGCATTTTTAATATGTAGTTTGATATATTAATTTATTAAAATATTTAAAAAAAATTATTTTTTATATTATTTTATTAAAAATATTTTAGTAAATTTATAAAAATAGATTATACTTTTAATACGTAATTCATTTTGTAAAATACTCTTTTATAAATTTTATTACTAATAAAAAATTCTTCACTATTTATAGAATAACAATCAAACCAATTTTACTCTTTTTTTTAATGATGTGATTATTAGTTGGCAAAAAAAAAAAAAAAAATTCTATTACCATTGGCAGTGTGTTTTTAATGGTCTGCTAATAGCCCAGTCATCAAATAAAGCAGCAAGCCATACACAATAGCACATCATGTTATGTGGATGAATGTGTAAATAAGTTGACAAAAATAAAAAATAAAAAATGAAGCAGGAACAAGTAGATCAAGTGAAAGAGGCAGGGACCTAAAAGTTGGAAGGATGAAGATTCTATTCTACTCCCAGAAAAGGAAAATTGTAAGATTGAGGATCAAACGGAACCATGCTTAAAAGTTTGATCAGCATCAATGCCATTTAGCCAATTCCCATTAACTTTTCCTTTTTTTCTATTTTTCTTGATAACCGTACCCTTTAACCTATAATATATATATATATATATATATATATATTTTTTTTTTGACAAGAGTAATTATTAGGAAGTTAGTAGAGTTAGATGTTAGCAACTGAGACTTCTCAGAATAGTGAACATTTCACCCCTCAGATGAGGGTTACGACGGTAGCAGAGTTTGAAACCCTGACCTCCCGCCTCACCCAAGCCCTAAGGCTTAGGGCCAACCATTGGGCCACAGGCCCGGTTGGCTTTAACCTATGATATTGAACTACAAATAGAGAATAAATTTTCTTCTCACTTATTATAAAATTTAAATTAAGATAAACATAAAATTTTTAATTATTTATACATTTATAAATACTCTAATGCACTTTGACTTTCGGTCCGACGTCAGGCCACGCATAAGTACATTCTTCCACCCCAATATATTATAATTAAATTAATATGCTTGATTGAAAATTATAAGTTTTGGATTATAAGATATTAATATAACCAAAAAAAGAAAAAAAAAAAAAGGTGGTAGGATACCAGATTTATTTATTTCATATTCATATATAACTCCGTGGTCTTGGATTTGGACGTTCCTAATTAAAGAATCTTCCTTTACATGGTAATCGTATCCAACAAAAAGGAATTGATTCCCAACCAAATTAGGACATTTTGCTTCTCATGTTCCAACAAACATACATGTATTTAGTTGCCAACCTGGAAAACTGGAACTTCTCCAGAGGGGTTTTCTTTGCCAAAAGTTTTCTACTCGGAAAGACAGAACTGTTACAACAATATTCCTGTCAAACTGTAGAAGGCATCCTTAAGAAGCTAAGGAAACCGTCCTGTAAAGCCTAATACAGACTTTAACTACAAGACAATCAATCTCTCATGCCAAGAATCCTCTTCTTCCACCCCCAACATTACCTCCCTTTCTTTCCTATTACCTTATACCATTTATAACAACGCTCCCAACCACAATGGAAATCCCTGAAAAACAGAAGTCGATACAATTTTTGCAATGGAGGCGTCTGTTCAATCCACAGAGATTGTGTTCTTTGACTTGGAAACCACGGTACCTGGTAGAACAGGCCAAGGGTTCTGCATTTTGGAGTTTGGTGCAATTGTAGTTTGCCCGAGAAAACTTATCGAGCTAGAGAGCTACAGCACCCTCATACGCCCCAAGGACTTGTCTATTGTTGCATTGAGGTCCAGTCGATGCGATGGCATTACTAGGGAAACTGTGGCAAATGCACCTGAGTTTGAGGAAGTAGCTGAAAAAATATTTGGCACTTTGAATGGCAGGATTTGGGCAGGACATAACATACAAAGATTTGATTGTGTTCGTATAAAAGAGGCCTTTGCGCAGATTAACAGGCCGCCTCCTCTATCTGCTGGAATGATTGATTCTTTAGGAATCCTAGCTGAGAAGTTTGGAAAAAGAGCTGGAAACATGAAGGTAATGCACCAAATTTGATACATTAGTGCAAATAAGCAGATTTTAAAAAATTTTATATAGAAATACATTAATATAACTACGTGTAAGTGTGCAGATGGCAAGTTTGGCAGAGTACTTTCGGCTGGGGCAACAGAAACACAGGAGCCTTGATGATGTTCGTATGAATTTGGAGGTTCTTAAGCATTGTGCAACTGTGCTATTTCTGGTATAACCAAATAATTTTAGAGCTGAATGCCTGAAACCTTTTCTTTCTCTCTCCCAGTCCTTGATGTTTTTGAGGGTTTTATCTTTTATAATGTCAGGAATCAAGCCTTCCTAGCATATTGAATGGAAGTTGGCATACGCCTCCTACCATAACAACGCGAAGCAGAAGTCAAGGTAAATTGCATTGCAGAGAAGAACCCTACAGCCGGAAATCTCCTACAACTTCTTCAGCAGGATACCAAAGAACAGTTCCCTACACAAGGGGAAGTTTGGGAAAGGTTTAATATTAATTTGCAGCTTCTATTCTGATCAATGTGGATGGTTAGTTTATTATTTGAAGTATGTATTCTCTGCCCAAGGAAAATGAACTTGATTATATAATGAAGCAGATGACAGAAAGGGTGAAGAATCTATTGTGTAAAGCACAAGGAAACCAGCCTCTAAACAATTTGCTCAAGCATTCTCATTCTCTTCTCCGATGAGGAAGTTAAAGTAGGTGATTGTGGCAGATGATGACATTGCGGATCCTTGTTTCACTTCACGTTTCATTGAAGATGGCAGAATTTCAGGTATAGTAGTTGTTTGGATGGGCAGAAAGAAAGAAAGAGGCCTAACAAGGAAGCCTGGAGAACGAAAATTAAGCATGCTGTACAAGAGGCCTCCTGTTTCTTCATTTGATGAATTCTGTCAAGCAGAAAGGGGAAACTTGGAGATGCTTTGGATTCAATACAACGTGAACACATAATCTGTAAATTCATCTAGTTCATTGATTATATCCTCCAGGCATTATTATTATTATTATTTTCATTTATAACAAACCTACTTGTTTTGTAATAATTTCAGTAACTTACGTCTATCACCTTTGAAAGTGTGATTTTACCTAATATTTATAGATGAGGTGATTTGTAAGTATTTATGAGATAATTAGACCGAAGATTTGAATACCCATATTATCTAGAAAAAGCAAAAAGAACCACGCTTTGCACTTTAGCCATAAGTTAATTATTATGACAAAGAAGAGATTCTATTCTACAGTGCGGCTGTGGCGATGATAAGGCACCACAAGATTGGGTTAAGGTGTTAGATATCAGAATTCCATACCTAACTAATTTCATAATCATAATGCCAGAGAAAGTGTAAGGCTTACTCTTTCCTGGCAATGAGATACAATGAATCAAGACATCTTTTCGTTTGTCTTAACTATGAGCAAAAGGGTCAATTTATGGACTTCATTGACACACAAAGAAACTAGCACTACAACACTAATGATGAAGGCACAAAATGATATCATTAGCATAACTAAGATAGGTATTCCCATTAACTTTAAGCATCCACTATGGTTTAAGGCCTTCAAAGATCAGAAACATTGAACCTAGACACATTAGGGAGTGCTTCCCATTGGTTACTTTCATATTTAGGAAATAC